TCAGTTTACCGTGTACAGTAATATATTGTTGTCACTGATTTTGTTTCTGAGTCCATTTTCTGTTTGCGTTTTAGAGCTTCAGAGACCAGAACGATTCAGAAACGTTTTATCAATACACGCATCCACTTAATAATGTTTAGATTTTGTTTGTTGTTGAATATATTCTCAACAGCTTAGATAATATGAAGGCTGGTGCCTAAGTGGACACAACATACCAGAGAAATGTAACAGAAAGGAAAGATATACTTCTACTTGCTAAGTCTTGCATTGACAGCAGCGGATCAATTAGTATTTCTAAATACCCCTGTAGTAGAAGACATGGAAGGAAAACACCAGACTCAACAGGTATCCTACATTTGTCGCCTTTCACGATAATTTGCACAATAGACAGTAATATAATCTGTCCATATCATTCTCTGTGCATATATAAGTGGAACTAATCTTAGTTTTGGTATCGATATCAAAAGAAGAAAAAGTAGTTATTTTTGTTATATATTGTTCATGATAATCAAATGTGTTTATCTTCAATACGCTCATATTGATAGCGTATTTCTACCAGTATAAAGAGAATATCTATGCTTTTGAATAGGATCTCATATCTGTTTTATTCCAGTTCGATGACAAACACAAAATGGAAGGGCGTTTTAACCCGGAAGTTGCACATGTGTGTTCCCCACTGTATTTATAAGCCACATAGTATAATGATTGTTGACAAAATTGAAGCAGAAACATATTAACTTCCGTGTATGAATCACTCTAATACAACTTCCATTGAAACGTACATAACAAAAAAAATAATTCCTTTACATCAATCAATCTTTCTTGATAATGATGTGATGTTAAGTTTGCACATCTTGACTGATCCGGGCTCTGTTTGGAAACCATGCTTTCTTGATCTATTAATCACATTATCCGGACTTTCCACAACTCTCAACCACTTTTTCACAGTAATTACATGAATGTAAAAAGGTTTGTACAGTCTGACCTCCTTTGGGGTAGGGAGAAGGGGGCCCTATAAGGGATACAGAGGAATATATCCTTCATCTGCTGTTGGGATGAAGGTGTTTTGACCAAATTTTATCAGTAGCATCCTTTGGGGGAGGAAAATCATTTTTGAATAAATGGTTGGTCTGAACCCCCCGGGGGCAGAGAGGCGGGGACAAAATGGGAAAACAGAAAAATAGCTTTAACATCCGTCTACTTCTGTAGGAATGACAGGATTTTGTCCATATTTGGTCTAAAGCATCATTTGATGAAGATGACTAAAATATACAGTATAAACAGTGGGTTTGACCCCCCTGGGACCAAAGGGGCGGGGACCAATAGGGGAAACATAGCAAAATTCCCCTTTTCCTGTAAGAATGACAGGATTTTGTCAAATTGCATATTCACATAACCATGTAATACTTGTACACTACCAGCAACATTTGGCTATTCCAACTTCAATTTTGCTAACATTTCCAGGTTAGTGATACAGGCCCTCTGGGTCATTGTGCAATTATTTATTTATTTTTTACTAAAAAAAATTGTACAAGTATGTTAATTGATTTGTAATGCGCCAGCTAAAATATCACATCCTCCTCGATTTTTGCTTAAAACAACGCCAACTCTATTTCTCCATACTTTGAGTCACAGGGCAGCATATGATCAACTGACAAATACATAGCTGCTCAACACTTTTTCAGGCCAGAACTTCTTATAATATTAATTGACAATTGATTGTTCTTTTGTAACAATAATAATTTCTAATAATTGAGATGCCCACAATATCTAAGAGATTATCAAAATTTCACTTATTTTCTCAGATACGACCTCTATACCACTGGGTACATGTTTTGTATTTCATTATATACACCTCTAGCTCATTTTTTATGTTCAATATATATTATTAAATGAATGGTCTATATAGATTTCAAACTGCATTATATGTCACGGCTATTTACACATGTTCTGCCAAATTAAAATTACTCCGCAGATCAACAGCACATAAATGAATGTCAGAATGTCAAATTATATATTACTGGCCAAAAACGATACGAACAATCAACATAAACAATAAACATACAATTTTGTGCAAATTTTTCCGAAGCAAACTTCTAAATATCGAAGATCAATGTTTAGGTCAGAAAAGGTCAAACTGATGATCAATATGATACATATTTTTTTATTTCGCATCCTTTGTCGGAGCACATATATATCATTTCGCATCCTATATCAAAGGTCAAAATACAGACAAACTAGGGTTATTTGTCCAGGGGTTATTGTTATTAAGGACAGTGTAACATTCATTACACTTGCAGATATTGTCTTAACAGTAAGACATACGTCAATTTGATGATAACTTCAAATCAGCAATACTTTTAATTGGCAAATCTTATAGATCAAAATAGGACAAAGGTCAATATGAAGGTCTCCAAACGTCAAACGTCATTTTGATAAATAATAACAGGTAAGACGATACATGTTAGTCTTGTACATTTTACATCAAAGGACAATTCATGTATGGGTCATGGAAGGTCATAGGTCATTCTACTGAAATGTATAGTGATAGGAATATCCATATGTAATATTTTTCATTAATGAAACCAATTGTCAATGTATCTGCCTTAACTGGAGCTTTAACACACCATGTGACATTGAACTAGTGACCGTGATTATCAGCTATACAAAGAGCACTGGTGTATGTGTAAAATACGCATAAATTTAAGCCTGACCTTTTCAGGGATTTAATTGCACTTTTAACGGAAGTCACCAGGATAAGCGCATGCGCATAGTCGCTTTTTACAATAGACAAAAACAATCAATATTTGTAGTTGACAAAAACATGTTCATTATATGCAAACGCTTTAAATAGAACAAAATCGATTTAAGTATTCACACTGCTAAACTGCGTACACATTGTATAGGACTAGGAATGATACAAAGCTGAAATACCTTACACGCATATTCCTTAACAAGATACCCTTTTTAGTTAATTCATACAGGTTCATTTCTAAATATTCATTCTATTTTGTATTTCAGTGATGGTATAGCGCGGTGTGTAATTACCTGCGGTCACGTCTGGAGCACAATACAATAATATCCTCATCGACGTATGATTATAGACGTCACGCGAGACCTATTAAATATTTTATGTTGATATATCAGATGATCTGTTGATAACACTCAACTGTTTAGGCGATACCTGCTGAACGGAAGAATTGATTTTACCATCGTCTAACTTTTATATGTTTAAATGGGATTAGTTTTGATAAAGAAAAGAAAGAGTCATGTTTTTTTGTATATATCTATTTCTGTAAAGGAATAATTTTCATAAAATATTTTCATTAATTTTTTCGTTACAGATGCATTACTGGCTTATTCCTCATCAAGCATGAATCAATACCTAGACAATATAATAAACATATTTTAACTACTACAGTAGGACCCTCTTTCTTCCATCGACTTATCTAGTTACGGATGTCGCCATAATCTGTTATGTCAACATAAAATATGGATGTGTCGAATTTATGTTTTCGTAATGTCGATATATTATCACATTTCCCAAAATAACGTCGGTAGGAAACTCGGTTTATATTCCTGTTATACTAGGTGTGATATCGACTTGCCACCTGTTTTTGTGTTGTGCGCACGATGTGTGCACGGTGTGTAAACGATGTGTGTACGATGTGCGAACGATAAAAATCTGGACGATCATTGCTTGTACACTTTTGTGCGGACGATGGACGATCGTAGTGCGACTCTCGTTGACGACTGTCGTGGTTGGTGTAAATTGAAGAATGACTTAACAATATAAACGGTTTCGTGTTTAAACATATTAAACATGTGTAAGTGTGTTTCAATATTCTAGCTTCATCTTTCAGCTTATCTTTCTATCTATTCTTTCTTAAATTTAGAAATGGTGTTTTCGGTGTATTTTAAACGGGACCTCAATCGACTCACGAAAAATTACAACAAATATGGAGTTAGTCCAATATACAGATAAACTTATCCACAGGTACGTACCTGGAACGTAACTCGTCGAGGTGTGCATTCCAGATAGAGGGGAGATATAGACCGAACCGAATGCAACTAACAAATACTACACGATCAGTTGTGTTTTTATAACAGTCATACGGTAAAATACAGCAGCTCCCTGTGTCCTGCACAGGCTAGGTAAAACTCAGGTAAGTCATCAAAATGTTATTTACCTGTAGCCAAACCCATTCCTGACAGTCTAACGCGTGAGGTCACTGTAATATGGTGTAACACGCATTGTAAAACTGTACAACATCTTGATAAGTTTGATGGGAAATTAATATATACAGTGTGCATTATTGCATACAAGCCTTAACTTCCGTATGTTTTTTTTATTCCGTAATATTAATCAACAAATTGTACCAAATCGCACATTTTTGCGTAGAGAAGCGCACAACTGGGCGAACGATTTTGAAATCGCACAGTTGTGCGCACCATGTGTGGACGTCGTGTGCACGATTTATGCACGATATGAGCACGCTACTTTTGGTGCGTTGTTCGGTCACACAACTGTATAAATAAGTTAGTAAACAAATATGTTCCCCACAGAATTATCATAAGACATACTTATGCTAATTAGGTCTGTTCAGCGATATGCCTCGTTTTGGGTTTCGTATGTCGGTTATATAGCCAGGATAAGAGAAACTCATATACAGGTAGGTACAACCAGATTAAGACAGGCTTACCGACACACTTTTATATTTGAAAACATAATTTACGTCCATTTGCATTTCAATAATAATAATGATTTAACTTTCCTTGCCAACGAAACCTGTCGGTTGATTGTCGGAATGAACTACATGCATACGACATTGAAAATATTTGCCAGTAGAAAACTATCCAGGCAAGTTAAGACTTGTGTACAGGCAACAAAACAAGATTAAAAATACTGATATTCGAAACAACAACAACCTTATCGAATGGCCGTGTATTTTTGTTGATTAGTAGAGCAGAACATGTACTTCCTCATTGGATACCCGTGCGCTTGCGACGGAGCAGACACAAATCTTTCGTTTGATACGGTACGCAGTATAAGTAAAATGAAGGTGTGTAATATCTGGCTGCTGGAGGTTCTGTGTATCTTATCAACTTTAAAGATTGTCAACACATCAGGTATGATTGGATGTACACTTTCTGTTTATCCTTCATTCTAATAGTAAACATATACGTCACGTTGATCTGGACCTACATATTATAGCACAAACCTTAAGTATTAAACCATGGGTAATGTTGCTGGTACAACAGGTAGGGGTTAATATATAGCTTGTACCTAAGGTTCATGTTTTATACTTCTGCATTGCACAGTTACTGTGATATAGTATCAAACGATATGCATTTATTTCAAGGTATGCACATATAAAAACAACACATATACAATATACTAGCTATGTTTCAAATATTGCCTAACAATGGTGATGTGTTTCTACTATTCTTTCTTTTGTACTGGCATTGGTAGGCCGATTGATATGTTTTACAACACTGTTCGGAAGTCAATGACAATAAAACATTAGTCTAGTCAACTACACATTCCATATATATATGTGACCTACTGTAGCCAATGGGCTTATGGTCTTTATAGAATAGTAATGTAATATTATATCTATTTTGTGTTTAGGTAATGTAGGTGTTTTGAGTTTTAACGTGTGTAACTTATATAATGTCTATTTTGTTGGAATTACTTCCTTGTCCCACATATAGGTCTCATACGTAATAACGACAGTATGATCCGATATGAACATTGGATCTGAACAAGCAAATGATTCTTCTGGTGCGTATTACTTAATATATATATATATATTGGCAAAACAGAAATAATGACAGTATGTAGCAAATGCTTATTGGTTTTACTTAAATACATATAAAGGCAAAACATGTAGTACCAATAGAACAGACAAAGATATTTGTCAAATATTCAGGTCGATCCGCCCATTTTTCAACATAAATAACATTTAACAGAGATCAACAGTCACTATGAGACAACAAACATACAACACAAACAGAGTAGTTAAGTATGTGAAGCATGCTGTTGTAATTGACATTATAGGGCCTGTTTAATTATAGTTGGATATGTCCTAAACATGGATGAAGCGATTACCAAATCATTAAGAAAACAGACTTATTCAGTAATCGACCTAATTAAGAAAGAGTTGTCAAAATTACTTTGCAGGAAAAGATGAAAAGCTTTGTTTTTACAAGAATGTTTCAGGTAAATAAAACCATGATGACCTTTTTAATCAGGTTTAGCTAACCTAGTCCGAAAAGCCAGTGGGCTTATACCGTGGTGCCGCGACCGTCGTCCTTCCAACGTCAACTTTTGACTTTAAACGACTTCTTCAGATGAACCAAAAGGCCCAGGATGATGATATTTGGCAAATACCATGCTTATTTGGATTAAGGGCTAATAAATATGTTCAAATGAATGACCTTGACTTATATTCACGGTCACAGGGGTCAATATGTTTTTAAACATGTAACATGCTTGGATGAAGGGCTGTATAGTTGTTAGCTCACCTGACCCACATGGATCAGATGCATTTAATTCTTTCAACAGGTTCTTTTGAATGACTTCGAGTCAAGACACTGCTAATTTGGCTGTAGCTTTATCTAAGTCCACGTTTAAAGTTCAACAAGCCCCCCATAGTATATGCAGTAGTCACCTAAAATTCTAACCACCTGAAAAGTCATATTCAAGACCTCAATTAAAAATCGGAACTTATATATGTGATTTGAATATGTTGAACTTGTGCATAGGCTATGAAAAAAAAAACCCATTAAGGTTGATGTTGTTATAAAAAAATGCTCACCTGACGTATAACATGTCAATCTATTTTGCGACCCAAATGAGTGCTAAGAAATGACCAATAATTTAAAGATTATTTATATGCCAAGGTTATGCGGAGCTTTATTCGTCTTCTGTTAGCTGTTGAGAGAAGTTCCTTCCTAATAAAGATAGATGTTGTCATGGATAACCACTTTAATCATAGTAAAATATGAAATGAACTTCAGATGATATGCCATTTAATAACATTGTGTGATGTTATGAAGGCGCTAGAGATGTTATAAACATTGAAACTGAATAGTGCGATGATGTTCAAAACATGTCTAGCGTTTTAATATAAATATTAAATGATAAGAAAGGACACTTTATATGAATATCAAGTTGTTTTTGTGTTCATGTGTTTGAGGTTTTTCATATACATGTACTTACCTGTAAAAATATGTTAATCGGATGTTTCATCATGTTTTTTGGGCATTGCCATTGCAAGATTGATCTACTTTTGAGGCCGGTATGCCTCTCCACACCTAGCCAAAGAGAAAATACCTTCGCATGACCTTTGTATATGAATTAACTTTAAATAATATGTCATTTCGTAGCATTCAGCTAAATCACTAAAGAGATTGACATGTTATAAGTCCAGTGAGATATGTTTATGAAGAAATCAGCCTTGATGATTTATTATTGACTACATTAACTTGGATATGTACTTTTTAAGTAGCTTACGTACAAGTTCAATATATTTTAGTTACATATATATATATTTCGATTTTGTATGAGGGGTCTGTGAATATGACATACCAGGGGGTTGATATTTAAGGTGACGTATACATTTTTTTAGAAGCTTGTTGAACCTTAAGATAACAGGTGTGAGATTAACACAAGATGAGCGATGCAGGCCCATTGGGACTGTTTTGATACCCAGTAGTTAGCATAAAATGTACAAAGTGGTTAAAAATACAAACATAATATACATAACATCATTATATGTATATTGTTTGCATCAGCATTATGTCATAACAAACATGACAGAATAAATCCAATTCCCATTGTTTACTAGTTCAACCGGTGTTTAGTAAGAAAAGGAGGTGAGAGCAATAACAGGTAAGGTGCTGACCAGCCTGCGATAATCAGGCAGTCAAATGGCAAACCTTATCCACATTTGACCAGTATCTAGAATCAGACATTCAAGTGATCAAAATTATTAGAGTTATTTTTTTTCTAAACAATTCAATAGTCTAGAGACGAGGGCAGGTCTATGCATATCCCATCGGTAAGCTTGTAACCGAAGGCTTATTATTGTACAAACGTGTATACTTGACGTAAAGTTAACTAATACAACAAATCTAAATAAAACCAGTGAGGACAAATCATAATGTAATTGTTCGTGCAGACACGGCGCCCCTGCAAGTATTACGCATGCCAACCTGTTCCTGTTGAATCATTTAAATGTATATTTCTGATTTTTTTTTTAATATGAACATGTTATCATCTCATTTTTAGCTCACCTGGCCTTAAGGGCCAAGTGATCTTACGCCGTGGTGCGGTGTCCGTCGTCCGTCCGTCTGTACTGCGTCAACCTTTTTACTTTAAACATATATTTTTTTCTGAATAACAAAGAAGCCTAGATAGTTGATATTTAGCCAGTAGCATGCCAGCATGGAGGACTACCAAATGTGTTCAAATACATGACCTTCGCCGTTTTTCAAGGTCAAGGGGGTCAACTATGTTAAAAAATTTAAACAACTTCTTCTTAATAATCAGAAGGCCCAGGGTAGTGATATTTGGTCAGTAGCATGCTGGGATAAAGGGCTACCAAGTTCATTCAAATGAATGATCTGAGCATGAATTAAAGGCCACAGGAGTCAAATATGTTTAAAATCTTAAAACAACTTCTTCTGAATATCCATGAGGCCCAGAATGTTGATGTCTGGCAAGTAGCATACTAAGATAAAGGTCTACTAATTTTGTTAAAATCAATGACATTGACCTTTCGTCAAGGTCACATGGGTCAAATATGTTTTGAGTCTTTAAACAACTTCGTCTAAATAACCAAAAGTTCCAGGATGATGATATTAGGCCCGTAACATGCTGGGATGAAGTGCTTCCAAGTTTGTTCAAATTAATGGCATTGACCTTTATCTAAAGTCACAAAGATCAAATATGTTCAAAACTTCTTATTCTTCTAATTAACCAGAAAGCCCAGGATAATACTATTTGGCCAGTGGAATGACCTTGACTGATATTCATGGTCACATGAGTCAAATTTCTTTAAAATCTTAAATAACTTCTTCTGAATAACCATCAGGCCTATAATGCGGATATCTAGCTAGTAGCTACCACGTTTGTTAAAATGGATTGACTTTGACTAATATGCAAGGTCACAGGAGTTAAATTTGTTTCAAAATCTTTAAACGACTTCTTCTGAATAACCATGAAGCATAGAATGCTGATATTTGGCCAGTTGCATGCTTGAATGAAGGGCAATCATTTGGATGACCTTGACCCAATTTCAAGGTTAAATTTGGTCAAATATGTATGAACCCTTAAATAACCTTATCTCGAAAAAAAAAGGTCTAGGGTGTTGATATTTGGCAAGTTTCATGCTAAGATAAAGGGCTATACATTTTGTTCCGTTTGATGACCCTGTTCGACTTTCAATGTCACAGGGGTCAAATGTTTTAAAATATTTTAGCATGTTCTTTTGGATAACTTATAGCAATAGATACTGACATTTTGCCTGTAGCTTTATTTTAGATCACTTATAAGGTTACAAGTGTGAGATTAATACCAGGCTGGAAATACCTATTGATCTTGTGGACACTCTATCTCAAGAACGAATACATATAGAACGTTCATATTTCAGTATATATTTATTTTTAAAACATATTTAGAACGACCATAACTTCATAAGCGTTCGTTGTTCTGCATGAACATTGTGTGGATCTTGTAGATCTTGGTCGGTGCTAACTTTTTCCTATGACATGTTTCCAGAGAATATGTCAAGTTAAAAACCTCGCTATGGGGTCAAATATAGGTCAAAATGAAACTCTTAATAAGTTTCAATTTTATTACATCGCAAAGGGCACGTTCTTATGAAAGTATTTCCAAAGTTTCTAGGTCATAGCATCAATAATATTATTTACCTTGACATTTATTCAAGGTCACAGGGGTCAAATGATCCAAAAAATTAAAATTTAAAAATTCTTAAGATTTATCAAGTTTAAGGTCAATGCATCATGATGCATATCAATGAACATGACACACCTACAAAATATCGCTTTAAATAATAAAAGGGCAATAACTCTTACAGAAAATTTAAACTATTGAGACTGTCTCCTGATAAGTATGGTCCTATTGAATCACAGATCTGACCTTATCAACAAACAAGGTACATCTTCCAAACTTAATAGGCCTGATAGTCAGCTTCAATATGTCCAGGAACAATTTACTCACTGTATGGTTAAATGTATGTTTTCTATTTTTACTCAATAATATCCAAAGAAATACACAGAGTCACTGTGCATGATTTGGATAGGTATTGTCGGGTCCAAATAACAGCTGTCAATCAGCATTGCCTGTTAACCATCATGATGTGTACTGGAGTTTGGCGTGCTGCATCCAAATAACAGTGCTGTCAACTACCCGACCATCACTGTGTGTACTGGGGTTTGGTGTCGCCGTGTCCAAATAATAGAACTGATATCACAAAAACCTCAGGGAAAAAACATGACCTCGAAGAGGAAGGGAGGGTGAGGAGGGAAGATAGAAACGCTGACCGTTTAGAAATAAACTGACCCTATAATATGAATAAGGTACATGTACAAGGTTTGTCAGAGAAGGAAAGCGAAGGGAAACGTATAAAAGCGATCGTCAGTCCGAGAACATTTCTTTGTTCATTTTCTTGTTGGAAATCCCATGTTTTGATCTCAATCAAATCTAGTTTAATTTGTTATTGTGCGAATTTGTTTCGTGGGGGCATTGTCTGTGACTTCTTTAGGCTATTTTCTTTTGTTGACGAAATTATCGGTAATAGTCAATCCATTTTTCTCCCTGGTTTACTAAATTATTTACAATATTATAACAATCATAATGTATTATCATTATTATTATTTTTTGGTCAAGTTACGGTCATATTATTCCACATTTCCAATCGTTGACCTCTGTTTGATACCTAGTCGAGTGGAAGTGACCAAGTCTGCCATTTTGATTTGCAGTGATTTTAACGCCGTGCTTACACGAATAACTACGGCGTTATATTTTCTCAAAAGCTTAATTCACAAATTCTGATTATTTACGTGATCTCACGTCTTCAAGATGAATATTTTGGCATACATATAATTCGGTTACAAGCTAGCCGATGGGGTATGCACGAACATCAGTATATTTCATAAGTAATAACTGTTTTTGTTCGTTTAAGACTGTTTTTAAATTGTATTAATTAGCTGCATATGCATTGTATCATTTATTTTAAAACGGAGAAGAAATTTGAATAATTATAATTAGCTGTTTCAAATAAAAGTTAAACATGAGTGGAAAAGGAAATAATCACTACAATAACAAAGTCCTGGTTCCTTTTTCTAATTATTTTATTGGTTTATTTGATACATTTTTTTACCAATATTAGTATCCGTTTTCCATTTATTTCTGCTTATCAATTGTGTTAATACTTGATTTTACCACCAACACATTCGTACATTGATGACCCTGTAATGCTGATCATAATGACAATTATTAGTACTTTAGATCAGTAATATACACAATAATAATTATTATTTTACAGTTAACACCAGCCGTGAGCCAAATGTCAAAATATCCACTCAAAGTTCAAACCACAGTGCTCCATTCCGTAGTGGCAAGGCAGTAGATGGTTGTAGAAAACAAATCTTCGACATCGACAGCTGCTGTTCACATACAAAGACAGGTGAAAAGGAGGCATGGTGGCAATTAAATCTAGAGGGACTGATCGTTATGGAATATGTCAAAGTATACTACAGAAGTGAGTAGTAAAATATATAATTTTTATCCACCAATAAAAGAAAATTCTGGTTTTAAATTTTTCGTGTTTTTCGTGACCTTTAGACGATACTGTGTTGTCTAACTGCATGTCATGAAAGACGACTAAAATGTAACTCCACCCCATCCCCATCCCACCCGTCTTCAAATGACACTGGCTATTGCGAAGTCGTAAATCCCGGAATTGAGATTATTGACATTCAAAAACTATATTTACATAATTAAGTAGGGAAGGGCATTTATTTTTAGCTATACATGGTTAAACGGCCCGTTAGGTCCACCCCGAGAATAGTAAAAACAACGAGGATATCTTGACATCATTTAACATACAGATGTGGGTTCGCACAACGTTACACGATGTGCGGTGTGTTCCCGATGTGCTCACGGTGTGTGAGCGATGTGTGCACGATGTGCGAACGGTATAAAAGTGGACGATCATTGCTTGCAAACATTTGTGCGGACGATGGACGAACGTTCTGCGATAACAATCGTGGTTGGGTGTAAAATTAGGAAAGGCTTAAAGGGACATCACGTGAAGAGCCATATTGTTTTTAATGAATGTCTGCATTGTATGCACTTCCATTTATGTTACCTCGCTATCCCCATATTCATAGTCCGTTCCAAATGTCCAGTTTGACCACCTGAATTGTTCGGGAAAGCCCTGCTAAAAATAGCGCCGATAACGTCACCTGACTAGGCAATAAACACGAGCGGTCTGGGCGAGATGAAACGGTTTCCAACGCCCCCCCCCCCTACCGCACTATGAAACCAAGTAATATGATTTCTAAGTCCGTATTAAAACATATTGAACAGTAGTTATTCATCATCAGAAGATGATTGCACACTTGCCAATATTCAGAATTTAAATTTATTTAGCTTTAAACATATTTGTTGCCAATACAATTAAACAAGGGTGGGGCACACGTTTTTACAATTTATCAAAGCCTTCTCCCGTCTTACATTTACAATTAAATGTCAACAATGATAAAAGGCATAAACATAAAGTATATATATAAAAAATATATATTAAATTTAGTACCGGAATGTGACATATGTACAAGGCTAAACACCTTTCTTCAACCATGGGACAAACCTTTCTGTAAAAAGGAATATACACGAGACGAATATCCCCTTTCAAATGTTTTCATAAATTGCATATATGCAATGACAAACTACACGCGTATTAAAAAGAGAAACGTTTGTGATTTTTTACATTGTACAACTCAATATCTTTGGCTCTTTATTTTTTCTATACCATGCATACAAAAGTATGTATTCTCTCTTTCCCACTTTCACTGTCTCCATACGCTAACACTTAGTAAGTCGTATTAGCCATCACACACTAAACTGTATGGCAAGTCCACTACGTGTACATAATATGTGTCAGATATGTGACGTGTTGAGCTACTTGATAAAAAATATTCAATACTTTTCATAGATTAAAGGATTATTGTCAATGGACCCTTTTTATGTTGAGCCAACTTTTTCTTGAATCATTTCATTTTTGTCCGAAACAGAAGCAGTAGTTAAAACGTAAACAAATGTTTCTTTCCCTGTTTTCAATACGTATTCCGATTATATCTGATGTCGAAAATTAATTATTTATAGAGAAAAGGTATTACGATTTGAAAAAAATGTAACGCTATCCTATTTACTAGAAGTAGGTTCTCCTTCCTCAGTTATTCATCCTGGCCTGTCATTTTGACATTTTTAATCTAGCTGCGATAATGTAACCTTCTGACGACGAGAGATTTTCTTTTATATATTGCGTCATTGCGCCAGAGGAAGTCGGGTATTCATGTAAGTACTAATTTAAATCTTGTGTGTAAAAACAAACCAAAAATCAGCAATTCAGCAATATAATTAAATCATACCATTTAACTGAACCCGGTAATATTATAAATTATGTAAATCTAAAAGCGCACGTGTCTCATTTGACCCCGATCACGAGTACCGACAGACAGAATACGCCGTGCATATCACAACAGTTAACCCTTGGAGGGCCTCATGACAAAATCAAACTAAACAGTCACTTATCTCTTCCTTTCGCATAAACCACTGTATAATTATAGAAACACAAAGTAAACTCTCTCCGATGCATGCCCATTGACAAATTTAACTAAGTTCATCTGTGTTCAAACTCAGACAGAGATACTAACGAGGTTAATAGTTGTATATATAAACATAACATAAACAGCGCTAGGATTTATGTCGATTACATTTCAGCGTAACCGGCTATCCGGAAGAATACATGCTACTAACTACTAGGGCAGTTTTTTTCTCCTTTGAATACTTCTCACCTGTAATGAAGATTTCGTAACGTACTCCTTGCGCTATCTTTTGACCATTTGTTAACTTTTCGCTTCGTAGCTGACACGATTCAACACTTTTCATTCGCTTACTTCACACGGCCAGTCATTTTGTTTACAAAGAAATGGTGTGCAATGCGCATGCGCTAGTAGAGGGAAAGCCCTGAACAAAACGTTGGTCAGACAGGTAGAAATACCGATGATTATCTTAGATTTAATCATTTTTTATGAATCTATTTCAGCCAAATCCGATCGTTATTTTCCATAAGGAGTCTCACTTGATATGTTTATGTAGTATTTGAAAAAAAAAAAAAAAAAAAAGTTACTTCAGCGTGATGCCCCTTTAACAATGCATACGGCTTTGTATTTAAACATATAACTTGATTTTTAAGTATGTTTCTATATTCTAATTACATTTTTCTTTTTATTGAGGATAAAATACATGTTTAGCCAAAGGCTATTCTTCCACATGGGACTCTATAAGCTTACCTTTCTGTCTAAACTTTCTATTTTTCAGAAATTGTGTTTTCGGTGTTTTTTAAACGACCTTAATCGACAAATGTAAATTTACAACACAGTCCTGTATACAGGTAAACATAGCCACTTTGTACATGTACCTGTACCACTCGCCCAGGGCACTTACGTAACTCACCAGGGTGTGAAAATCAATGTGAAGGGGGACTATAGGCCAAACCGTAAACAAGTACTAATTGTAATGGGGGATCATTACAGATGTCCCCCAGACTGCCCCCATAGTCGCAAAGATGCATCAGAAAAGGCTTGCATTGCCGTAGTACACCTACAATGTACATAATAGATTTGAGTGAAATTGACCAATTTATAAATTGAGCAATTTCTAAATTGCAACCAATCAGAATCCTCTATGTGGTTGTTATGGCAACGACAAGTATGCGAATACATTTGCAGTCCACTAATACCCCTATATACCAATGTTCATCAAAATCGAACAATATCTAAATTTCGAACAATCAGAAGCCTCCGTGTGGTTGCTATGGTAACAAAACTTATGCAGTTTTTTTCGCAGTCCCCTAATAATCCCATAAACCAATTTTCATAAAAATCGAAAATATATCTATATTTCGACCAATCAGAAGCCTCCGTGTGATTGCTATGGTAACGAAACTTATGCTGTTTTTTTTCGCAGTCCCCTAATACCCCTATATACCAATTATCATAAAAAATCGTTAAAATATCTTAATTTCGATCAATCAGAAGCCTCCAAGTGGTTACTATGGCAGGGAAACATATGAGGTTGAATTCGTAGTCCCCTTATACCCCTATATGCCAATGTTCATCAAAATCCCTATGTACCAGTTCTGGGCAGAATCAGACAACATTTAGATTTCAACCAATCAGAGGCCCAAATTTCGTTACCATGGCAATTGAGCTGTTCGAAACTGTTAATATTATGTTCTGCATCCTTTTAAACCCATATGTACCAATTTTGGGCAGATTCAGACCACAGCTAAATCTCTACCAATCATAGGCCTCCATTTCGTTACCATTGCAACTAAACTTTTCGAAACTGTTACCATTGTGTTCGGCTTCCCTCAAAACCCCTATGTACTAATTCTGGGCAGAATCTGACAACATTTAAATTTCGACCAATCAGAGGCCCAAATTTCGTTACCATGGCAACTGAGCTGTTCGAAACTGTTAATATTATGTTCTGCATTTTTTTAAACCCTTATTTACCAATTCTGGGCAGATTCAGACCACAGCTAAATATCGACCAATCATAGGCTCCATTTCGTTACCATGGCAACTAAACTTTTCGAAACTGTTACCATTGTGTTCGGCATCCCTCAAAACCCCTATGTACCCGTTCCGGGCAGAATCAGACAACATCTATATTTCGACCAATCAGAACCCAGTATATGGTGGCCATTTTGTCAAATGAGAAAAACAAATATCGCAGTTGACTTTGCAATGCCACATACTAAATTTGAACGAAATATACCTACAACAGAGCTTCGACCAATCAGTAACCAGTATATGAAGGCCATTTTATTTAATTAGAAAACGGATGTCATAGTTGAGTTTGCGGTACAATCATACACCTTCATGCCAAATTTGGAATGCATTGGAAAATATCTATAAAACATGTAAAATAAGATAGGTGTCATTGGCTATCCTTAGCGAACACCTTTAGAAATGTTCAATTCCCAAAAATTCCAAAATTCATGGCGTCCATCTTGGACTTCCGGTCGAGATAAAAATAGCTTGTTGCACACCTAGACCCCCTAATAAGTTTGTGTGTGAAGTTGCATGATGATCCGCTCAGTAGTTTCTGAGAAAACCTCCGGAAAAGTTCATGGCTGAAGAATAAGAAGAAGAAGAAGAACACAGAAGAAGAAGAATAATAAGAAGAAACGTAGTAAAAAACAATAAGTCCTCAAACTTTGTTTGGGGGACTTAAAAACTCTGTTTGGGGGACTTAATAAGAAACGGAGCAAAAACATGTCCCCAAACTTTGTTTGGGGGACTTAAAAACTTTGTTTGGGGGACTTAATAAGAAACGGAGCAAAAACAACATGTCCCCAAACTTTGTTTGGGGGACATAATTACAAATACTAAACGCTCAGTTGTGTTTTCATAACGGTCATATGGTATCGCATATCAGGTCTTCCCGTCAGGCACAGGCCAGGTAAAACTCCGGTCACTCATCAAATTGTTATTTACCTGTTCTGTTATCTTGGAGCCAAACCATTCTTGACAGTCTAACGGTCACTGTTATACTGTGTAACACGCATAGTAAAATTGTACATAATCTTAATTATTGTGATTAGACATTACAGTAATATATACAATGTTCATTATTGTATGCGAGCATTCCGTATACTTTTCATTCCGTAATATTGATCAAGTTGTACCAAATCGCACAGTTGTGCGGAGAGAGGCGCACAACGGGCCGAACGATTGTTAAATCGCAGTTCTACGCACCATGTGTGGACGATAAGCGGACGATGTGTGAACGATGTATGCACGGTGTGCGCACGCTTTTGTTGGTGCGTTGCGCGGTCACACAACTGTAATAACATAGAAAGCAAAGTCCAATGTACACTCAATGACGTATATCGTATACAATAGACATATCAGGTTGTCTATGTTGTTTATAATGCTTTCCATCAAGTCGATAATCTGACTAATGAATCGTCTCTACACCAGAGGTTTTCATTAGACTGTTTTACATAGACCCGTTTGAATTCTTGGTTTTTAACGACGGACTTTTGTGTTTACTACTTGTATTGTAAACCTCAAGTGTTCTGTTTTCGGTGTATACGTCAACACACGTCAACGGTCGATACATGTGTATGTACTTCTGTCCGTGTACCTATGTATAGGAGTTGTGACAAAGTCAAGCCTTGTTAGGCACATGTTTATTAAGGAAAATTACTGATAAGAACAACCAACATATAACCAATGATTCCTCCCTTTATACATGCTTTAATGTGAGATATCAATTAAATGGAACGTAACAAAAGCATAACCGATAAAAAATAAATTGATTTTATTATCAAGAAAAATATACCTAGTTAATGATAAGTGCAAAAAGTGAAGTGTGGCAAAAAAGAGAAAACAAATGAAAATCCCTAATTCCTCATGATGTTTCTGCATTGGTCGCTTGTTACAGAATATGCAGTTGTTTTCCTGGCGAAAACGCAAAATAGTCCTGCGTAAAAACAGTATATACTCATAAGTTCTAGTGGATACTATTGTTTATCAAATTTAGATCAAGGGTATGCGCAACGACAACGATTTGGTGGCTATCAAGTATACCAGTCGAACACGTCGGATTGGCGGAACGGTTACCTTTGCCATAAAGACATAACATCAACGTCGGCTGCGTTGTCGTTGACTCCCCAGATCAACTGTACAGGTAGCGCCCAGTACCTGACGATATACAGCGACAGACGGTCTGGAGGTCTATCGTGGTACTCTAAAAATGCTATTCTGGAGCTTTGTGAGGTTGAAGTGTACGGTACGTAAATTTAAATATTTTACAATACTTTTTTTTATAATTGTGTGTATGTGGCTGTATTTGTGTTAAAAATCGAGAAAGTTATAACGTTGTGGAAGATGAAACATATACAGAATTGTGTACATCCAAGGTATTTGGCCAATGATAGAACAATACAAATTGATTAAATATATTTTATTCTTCCACGTCTGTAATGTAACGGCGGTTTTCATTGGTTAAAAAGAGTGCATTATTGAGCAGTATACATGTACCATGCGCGTGCCAATAGCCAATGCCAATAACCAGTGCACGTGAAATAATGCGTATGCATGCTGTTGCAACAACCTCCCCGTATTTTATCATGACTTAACAAAAAAAGCATAACTGTCAGGCGGGATCAAAATATTTGACAGGCCTGCCATTCAAAAGATTACACGGATCTATATACCTTAAGTATGTGGGTCCGTGCAGTGAAAATGGTTTATTAATTAGTGACATTTAAAATGTACAGGTCTGAAGACAAAATGGTAAATTATTAATTACTTCTGTTTTTACTTAACTGGGTAGTGCCGTACATTTCACGATGTGTGCAGTGTGTGTATGTACTGTCAAGGGTTGATTTCATGTTTTGACGAACGATGTCGATAGCGTGCCAATGTTTGATTGATTGAAATAAACATCGTATCTGACGTCACATGGATTCAGTTGTTTCTGGTCTGCAAAACGTCGTCTGCTTTCAAAAATCAAAGTGATTCGTCTACAGTGACATACCATGTGTGAAGTTTAATGTTGCAAATTTGCAAAACACAGCTGTATGGCGAAGTCGGTGAAGGTGAAGGTCGCATCATGATCAGCCGGTCAGCGACTTTCCATAACGTCATGGCAACCAACTAAATATGCAAACCCATGTCAGGCCTATCGTATGACGTTGTATCACTGGCACTTCCAACAAAATCCGCTTGATATCGGTACGATGTTTATAGTTTTAGAAGTAAATGCTATCCGGGAATCTCAACGCTACGCACTGAGAAATGTTGGCACGACAGTGATCAAGTTAAAACGAGGCAACACGATAGCGTGATAAGTCTTGCACGCGCAAAAGAACAGCGTCTAATTTGCATATCGAATTATCTAGGTCATGTCGCCTTAAAAGGCAGCAAAACTTTCCAATTAGTTACATTTGACCTGGTAGAATACAAATAATCATCGTTTACTCGGGATTCGAAAATATTGGAAAAATAATTAACTCAAGCCGAAGCGTTAATTTATTTTTACCAACATTTTCTCACCCTCGTTATATATTCCACCATAATGCACGCACATATGTTGATTATTTCTTAATTATTTTTTCAAATGATCACAAATGGGCTTATGTCCGAACTCGTATGCTAATATATTTCAGGTTGTCCGCTTGGGAAATATGGTGATGGTAATTGTGAATCAGATTGTGATGTAGGCTGTGCCAATAGTCTGTGTGATCCAGTGACCGGAGGATGTGCATGTAATTACATATATTGGAAGATTTTAATACTGGAAAAATGCCATTTGCCTGTGGAACGAGAGAAAACAAATCAGTTTATCATTCATTTTTCTATTCATGAGAACCGTTGTGATAAAACTCATTTTAAGTATAAGAAAAGAGTGTAGGTCGTCATCATAACCTGATTCAAGATAGTGTGTATTGTCTTTGCTTTGGCGTCGTATAGGCTTTCGGTGCAATGATAACATATGGATATGTCTTATCATGATAACAATGTAACATCATGTTCATTATAACAATATCACATTTTCTTATTCAAGTAAATCAACATATGGTAAGCAGTCTTCAATATTCATTTCTACTTATTTTATAAAATATCGCCACATATTTTAAAATCATTGTAGACAATGCGTGTAATAAATGTATACATTATGTACATGTTTCATTTTATTTTTAGACTGTGCAGTTGGATACTATAGGTCTGGATCTTTATGTGTAGAATGCCCATCTAATTGTTATGATAACATATGTTATGTAGAATCCGGTGTTTGTTCTGGTAAGTGATTTGATGTACTTCAGTTTCAATCAACATTTATATGAATATTCTTTTTACATTTTGTGTTAATTTGATTTTTTCTCATAGAATATAATGCATTCGATCTGGGGACACAAATTCATTCAAATTTTGTAATTATACCACTTCTGAGGTGTTATTTGCTGTTATATATTTATTAAGTACACGCAATTACATTATGATTTTATTTTTTTATAATAAATTGATAAGATTCGGTTAACAATAAAAAGAAAAATCTTGCTCAGTTGTGTTTTGAAATACACATGTATTAAGCACTATTTAATACAATCACATCATCAGTGACAAGTAATGACCTAAAACTTAGAAAAGTGAAATGAAGCTTCCTACCATTTTTCGGATTCTGACTTCTTCTTTGTGATTTTCCATGAAAGCGTGTACTCCCGGGTATTATGGAAGCCGTTGTAATCAGACTTGTCGATTCAACTGTAAAGTCAACCGATGTATACAAAGCAATGGGGAGTGTGAAGGTATGCATCAGTGTAAATTATGAAAAACGTGTAGAGAAATGTGTTATTTAAGGATTAGTTAGGAAATTATATATAATTCACATATGTATTTGTCATGTTAACATAGATAATTCAAATAAATTTTGATAACATTTAAATTTTGTATAACGTCTAAAAAATAATAACTAAAAGGATATGCAAAACATAATATGGTATACAACATGCAGTCCTAAACTGGGGGAAAGAATATATAGCTGAAACGTGCACAGCTATTGGCTTTTTACGTAGGGTTTCGGTAAAATTAGCATGATCTTTGCGAACCTAGAAAAGTGATATAGGACCTGATAAAATATGTGGAAGGAACACACAACAGATAAACTAGTATGAGATTGAAACACATTCCGGTAGTACTACGTAAACACTTTAAAACTTTACAACATGGTTGTTAAATATTGGGTCGGATTATGATTTGGTGATGGTATATATCCCGATCATCAAAATGAAAATTAACTACATCATATTGAGGTAACATTACGTTGGAAAACAAGAGGATGCTTAACCTATGTTTATGCATGACATGCATACAGTACAAAGTTGTTCTGTAAGAGATAGGTTTGTTTTATATATAAATATGTTCGTGAAATGTCAATATACAAATATATGAAGATCGTTTTGATTTTGCAATGGCCAGACTGTGAGGATGGATTCTTCGGATCGTCCTGTGTTGTCTGCTATGGTGGTTGTACCAATCGTGTCTGTGACAAAATATCCGGAAATTGTAGTCGTAAGTATTAAAATAAAGGGCAACTGATCTACTCACTGATGGATTATATTTCATAACGTATTTTCCTAAGTTTAAATGGGTGATCCAATTGTCAATGAGATCATATTGTGAGTATATGGTTGTTTATTTTCGTATTCATCATTAGTTAATATTGCAATAAAGAAAAACATTCAGGTGTTTAAGTGAGTATATAAGATATATATCACTGTCGCTGTTACCTGATTATTGTTAATGTTAAAAATAAAGCATGCGTAGATAAAACAATCATTATAAAACGCCCATGTATTAACTAAAGTCTATCAAAGCTTATTTAGACACCCTTCCTCTATATGTACACTGCATATATGTGCATTATGCTCTAATACTCCATGGATGTTTGAGATAACTAAACCTAGAATATATAAAGACTATGGGAATAACTAACCTGCATAGGTAGAGCTTAAAAGTGACATGATTTATCCAAATGCATGTCGTAAGATGCGTCTAATGTGGAACCCTTTCCATGATCCATGACTGCTTTGAGCGCAATTCATGGATATTTAAAGATTTACAAACGTATTTTTTACATACAAATTAAACAGATGAATGGTTATAACTCTTTCCTATCTTTCATATGAATTTGCATTCAATACTAGTGTTTTACTATCATACAATATTACCAAGCTTTAGGACAATAACTGCAATAAGATTAATCAGTTTAGAAATATATGATATCAACGTTTTATTTTGTCGAGTGACATAAAAATATACATTTTTCCTCACATCGTTGTACATGTAAACAATACAAATATCTCTCTCAGTAATAGCTTAACAACTGATTACGTTGGTCTCGAAATGTTGCGACACGTTCAATACGTATATTGTTTGTTTAAACGTAGTTGGTAACATATAGGACGATTATAGAAGATGTGAAAAAATAGCAAGAAGGTAACTGTTCCTATGATTTGCTTTGCTTCCCATTACGCTGTCCGTATCCGCTTTGCATCCATATACACATCTGACTATACCCCTGCCTGCCTCCCCGCACCAAAACAAGTGTATACACTCAAGCTTAGGTAAAATCTTAACAATATTTTCGTTATCAATATATCTCAGATGGAAACGATTGAAATTAAAAACGGAAGTTTAGCTTCACATACTTATGTACTTTCAGCTTGCTTCAACGGCTTCTATGGGGTGAAGTGTGATCGGTTATGTTTCTCAAATTGTGAAAACAACACTTGCACACAAAATGAAGGGAAATGTACAGGTATGGTGACTTTGTTATTGAAAGTTTAGCAGAAAACAATTGTTTGATGTATATGTAAGACATTTCTACAATCGGATCAGATGTATTAAGATTTTCGTTTTGTATGCTCAAAGAAATGAATTTGAATTTTTTGATACACATTTAATATGCTTGGCTTGATTTCTAAATGTACTTGAAGATAGATACGACACAATTGTATTTTTATATGAAGAGAGACTTTTGTAAAATCGTATTTATGTTATATTCATCCCTGCATTTCTTTTTTTGGTAAAGTAAAGTGAACGATGTGTGTATTAAGTCTCAAATGACTGTTGAGGCTCTTTTTTATTTAAGCATGCAAACCTGGATATTATGGTGATATCTGCAACACAAGCTGCCCGTCCAATTGTAAAGGGGATATATGTAATCAGACCAGTGGGTTATGTACAGGTAAGGTGATATGTGAGATAATTGACGAAGATACAGAAGTAAATTCATATAGTTATAAAGGTAGGGTCAATGCCAATAGAGATTTAACATTGGCATCATTCCCCGCTTGGAATTTCAAAACTATATAAATGCATAAAGGTATGAATATAGGAAGCTTAAATCAGAAACAGTTACAAAGTTTCAGAATTAATTTTATGACAAACGTGACCTCATTGACTTGCATATATGTGGGTGTTCAAGGTACGGTAATACAAGTCCTCCTGGAGCACTATACAATTAAATCCTCATCGGGTGCAACATATTCAAACTGTTATGTTAATACCGAATATTTTACTATTGCAAGAAATAATTATTCTATTTATTGAAGTTTAAGCAGAAAAGTATTTGAAATTGTATTACGAATTAAAAACAAATCCATTTTAACACTTTAATTTGTTCTAAAACGAGTCTGCGTTTCATACTTGCTTAAAAGTTGAATACCAATAATGTCATTCAACATCGGGAATCCAAAAATTTGATAACCGGTAAATTTGTCATATAACACGTTTGATTAAAAACAAAATACAAAAAAAAGCGCCATATCTTTCTTTCCTTTTTTCCTTATACTTGTTTTTTCTTCATGACCAAAGGTCTTTGGGTCTGGACATTTTGCAAGTAGGTTGTTCATGTGAATGAAATTCAATTTTGTAAACGTTGATGACGTTGTCTTTCGTTCAAGGTCACAAAAATCAAATGAATTGAGATAAAGTTGTTGCATGGGGAGTCAGACAAGTAATTCCTACATTGCTTTTTTTCTTTAGAGTTGACGATATAAAATGTTGTAATATTCCTTCATATTTTGTTTAATGAATGGGCAATACGCAAAATAAAACTAGAAATTTTAATGTAAGCCAACGACTAACAAATACCTCTGCTCCTAAATAAAATAGAACTGTAAGCTAAAATTAAATAAGGCGTTTGATTCGATATACTTTAGTTTAAATCACCATTAATATAGAATTCATATTTTTTTTTTACATTTTGTGTTAATTAAAAGTATTGTCATGAAATAAATACAATGCATTCTTTGTGGGAACACACATTCGGTCTGGTTTTAGAATGATATCACTTCGGAGGTATTTGCTGCTGATATATATTTATCAACTTAATGATGTCATGTTATGATTACAATCTTTTATGATGCATTGGATAGATTCGGTTCACAATAAACAAATTATAAAATGTACATGCATCGAGTGCAATCACATTTTCAGTGACAGTTAATGACCTAAAACGTAGAAAATGAAAATATAGCTTCTTACCGTTGTTTCGTATTCTGACTTGTTCTTTGTGATTTTCCATGAAAGCGTGTACTCCCGGTTATTATGGCAGCAATTGCAATCAGACTTGCCTGTTCAACTGTAAAGACAACCGATGTGTGCAAAGCAATGGAGAGTGTGAAGGTGTGTATTAGTGGAAAGTATGAGAAACATGTATATCCATGTGTTACATGTATATAAGGATTAGTAAGAATGTTTTTATTTTTTCATATATTGTATTTGTTATGTTAACATAGACAATATAGATCAATTGTGCATACAAATAACTTCAAGTTACTGTTAAAGATCCAACTTTGATTTGTTTATAACGTCTACTAAATGAATATCAAAAGGGTGTGGCAATTTAATTAATGGTGTATAATTTGTAGCCATACAACTGAGGGAATCATGTATATAGGTGGAACCTGCACAGCTTTTGGCTTTTTCCGTTTTCGGTAAAATTAATCTAGATAGGTAATCTAGAACATGAAAAAATATGTAGCTGAACACACAGCAGAACAAAACAGTGTGTCAATGTTCGTTTTGTATATTAATATGTTGTTGAAATGTCAATATGGAACTAAAAGCAGTTCATTTTCATTTTGAAATGACCAGACTGTGAGGATGGATTCTTCGGATCGTCATGCGATGTATGCTCTGTCGGTTGTACCAATTATGTCTGTAACAAAGTATCCGGAAACTGTAGTCGTAAGTATTTTAAAAAAAGAACACCTGATCTACACACTGATGACTAATATTTCAATATATCTCANTTATGTGTGATATGTTCGTTTTGTATATTAATATGTTGTTGAAATATCAATATGGAACTAAAAACAGTTCATTTTCATTTTGAAATGACCAGACTGTGAGGATGGATTCTTCGGATCGTCATGCGATGTATGCTCTGTCGGTTGTACCAATTATGTCTGTAACAAAGTATCCGGAAACTGTAGTCGTAAGTATTTTAAAAAAAGAACACCTGATCTACACACTGATGACTAATATTTCAATATATCTCAAAATCTATTTTCCTGAGTTAAAACGGATGCTTCAGTTGTCAATGAAATCGTGTTGTCATTATATGGTTGTTTATTTTCGTATTTGTCACTAGTTTAAATCGCAATAAAGAAAAGCATTCAAATGTTTGAGAATATATAAGATAGATAGCAATACACTTCAGTACATTACAGTTATTTAGACATCCACTATACCATCAAAACCTCCAACTTTCAGTTCATATGGAACAATAATTAATCAGAATTATAGCAGTAAGTTACCGCTGTCTTGCTGCTTTGTGAATGAGTATTAAATAAATGAATAAAGTTTGAAAATAATACTCATTACTACTTAAATTTCATAACAAATTATAGTGGAAATAGACGTACTCACATTCCAAGTCTTCTTTTAAGCTCTGTTTCTTTTAGCCATGGTTAGGGGTGACTCTCTAACTTTGAACGATAACATGATGTGTTAGTACAGTCCAACCTCGCTATCTCGAAGTCGATGGGGTCGTGCACAAACTTCGAGTTATCCGATAATTCGAGTTATGCGGGTTCATAAATTTGGTATGAAATTTGCTGTTGGGACATAGCACTAGCAGTTTTTGGTTTTATTAATAGTTAATGCTTATAATCAATCGATAAATGATATGCGTAACCAATATAACAAATACAGCTATGTAATAATGTATATAATAAACACGCTTACAAAATAGAGTAAGTTATTCCAGAAAAAAACGTACTTTCGTTTTTAAACGCGATCAAAACGGTTTGACCATATTGTGAATTCGTTATTAAATATGGACGGGCCTAGTGATTAAATGTTGTTTTTGACTAGTATAGATCTTGGCAAAATCTTTCCAGGTCTGCATTTGTATTTGCAAGTCCGTCAAGTTTTACTTCTGAAGTGTTACATTTAAAACCGAACTATCCCGCTGTCTCCGACCTCGTAGTTTACAATGCGGAAATGAAAGTGTGCAAGTCTAAAACAAATCACTATAATGGAGCGTACGCATAGCTGATTTTGTAAATGAAAACACACACAACCAGATTATAGCGTACATGTAACACATTGATTCATTAAAGCCAAATATGACACCTGATACCTCCCCAACTCTATGTAATCAACAGCAATTATCGTATTGTTCTTAAATATCTCGATTGACTTTCAAAGCCATACTGGCTCCTGTAAAAACATGAACCCGTGAAGCTGTCCTAGGTTGTGGTTTTAACTGTGGAACTCTTTTATGCATGACCATGCTTTGTGACCAATTTTCCGGTTAGCACTGTCGTCTGTTAGGGTGTACAAATTATTAAACGGACTCGCAGTAAGTACAGATTATTGTTGATCAACATTGATGAAGCGGTTTGTTATTACGAATAACATGGTTTTGACAGTCCGTACACTTTACAGTCATAAGCTTTATCGTAAATTCTTTTTTAGCCTACCGATTTCATGCTAGTCTACTCACGATAGAAATTCATAAACACGGAATAGCGAAATGTCGTACTTTTGCGTTTTATTTGTATCAAAGAATTAACAAGTGACAACATGAAATTCGAACACTATGAAGTAGACGCTGTTTTGATTTTGGACTAACGCTATTGAAACCCAATATTTTACTTCGAGGTAACCGATTTTTTCTACTTTTCAGTGTTCGAATTATCAGAGTTTTATTTACTAAGATAAAGAAGATATTTGGCCGGGACCGGATAAGTACTTCGAGATAAACGGGGTATTTGAGTTAAAATGGTTCGATATCACGAGGTTTGACTGTATTACATTGAGGGTTGGGTAAATTAATATCATTTTTGAAAAGAAATGCAAGCTGAAATCATTCATCAGAAAGGTGCTGGTCTAACGTTTCTTCAATTTGCACACTGCATATATGTGCGGCATACTCTAAAACCCCACGCATCTTTGATAAGTATACCTAAAATGTATATATGGATTATGGAAACGGTTAACCTGAATAGATAAGGGGAAAATTGACATGGTTTATCCAAATGTCTGTCGTTAGATGCGTCTAATATTTAACCCTTTCTATGATGCATCAATGCGTTTAGCGCAATTCATAGATATTTAAAGGTTTCGAACGTAAATTTTGTGTTCAAATTTAACAGATGATTTGTTATAAATCGTTTTTATCTTTCTGATAAATTTGCATTCCATACTAGCGTTTTATCTTTCATAAAATACTACCAAGTTATAGGACAATAATAGACACAATATCAAGAAAATATTTGTTCCTATAACCCGCTTTGCTTACCATTACCCTGTCCTACTTCACTCTACATCCTTATTCACACCTGCCAATTTTCCTACCCCTACCATCGCCACCAAAACAATAATTTACTCACACCTATTACAATCTTTACAATATGTTGGTATTCATTGGTTCCATATGGACATTCATAACAAGTGAAATTAAAAACCTAAGTTTAGATCAACATATTTGTGTAGTTTTAGCTTGCTTGAACGATGATGAAGTGTGATCGATTATGTTCTTCTAGTTGTGAAAACAACACATGCACACAATACGAGGGGAACTGTACAGGCGACTCTGTCATTGACATTCGTTTTAGCAAAAATAATTTGTTGAGGTATTCTCTGATATATGTGCATGATAATGATATCATACATTTCTAAAATTATAATCGAAGGTATCTAGATATTCGTTGTGTATGCTCAAAGTAATGC